CGATCAAGTTTTAAAAGGTTAAGATGACAGTATACTATTCAATTGGATTTTTAGAGAATGAGCAACATTAAAACTTACTTTCGCAAAACGGAAACATAATGACACTCAGCCTTCTATTTTTTTCTAAAACTTTACATGCAGCACGAAAAATCGCTACCGGAGCTACGGATGAATAAAAAAAATTGAATAGGTGAGTTTGCTTTGGTTCAATTTGAACATTTACTTGACGCATGTCATTTGGACAGCCCTGCAAATATCAACCCCCCCCCCACCAAAATTTTTTTTACCAGAAGTGATGTATCATTTTAGAGCTAAAGTTCATCATCAAAATCATTCACACTGTGAAAAAATTCGAACAAATGTTGAGATTTGGAAAGTGGAAGTTTGACTACATGAGGAAAGAAAAAACAACCAGAGCAAAGATTAGAATCTCGAAAAAAAAAACTTTATCAGAATTTTTTTTCGAAGGCTTTTTTAATCAAACAAACGATATTACAAAACTGTTTTTGTAAGTGCCCTCTATAAGGTATCGTTGACGAAATTCATTTTTAGTTTTTTTGTTTCTTTTGATCTCATCTCCGAATATTTTTTTTTCTTATAGTCTTCAAGTTTCAAAATCTCAAATTGGCTTCAAAAACTTTAAGTTTTAAATCGCTCAATTTGAATGGTAATTATTCAAAGTTTTTTTTACATCAAGCTTTAACCGAAACAAAATCTAAAAGCTTACATAAATCACCAAAAATATTGGTCTTTATCACAGAAATAAGATGTTTTTAAACTATTTTCAGAAGCTTTTTTCTATTGAAACGATCTAAGATGATAGGTAATACTTATCAAAAAGCATTCGCCAGCTAAACTTGAACTTTTAATTTCTTTCTACCCTTCTATATCGACAACAATTTTTTTCCTATTTGAAACTAGCCTAGTAGGGTAAAAACGGCAATTAAAATGGATTACTTTTGGGAAAGATTAGGAATAACTCTATTAGAAATAGAAAAAAAGCAGTTAGTGATTCTTCAGCGCCTTTTTTTGCAAAAGTGTGATTGTTGAATAAATGCAAGTTTTGAAATCTTTTCATTGCTTTTCAAAAAGCTGATTTACAAAAAGGTATTGCTAAACGATAAAAAAGGTCTAAGACTAAATCATTTGCCATCATCTTTTTAAATTTTTACGTTTTACGCTCCGTTGAATTCAAAGACTAAATCAATCGCCATAATTTTATTGAAATATCAGTTTTTATGCTTCACTGAAGTAAGTAGTTTAAAATAGCATAATTTCGATGCAGCTATAAATGTTTAGCAACAAGTAGAAAACGAGGAGCTGAATTTCCCTTCATAAGAGTCTTAAGCCATTAATTCATTTTTCTGAAATCTTCCTGAAAAATTGATACTTAACATTTCAGCCGTAGTTTCAAAAGGGAACCAGGTAAACTTTTAACTTTCACTGAATTACCACTTACTGAAAAGTTCAAAGCTTATTCAGTCACTAAAACATAGTAAAATCAACGAATTCCATTTTTGGCATTGCAACTCAAACAGTTTTTCGAAATATTTCCAGGTAATATTTATATATAATCTAATTTTGCGTCAAACTGCGCAAAACGTGTCTTTTTGTAAGATGCTTGCAAAGTTTCACTTGCTTAGAAACTTCTGCCAAAAAACAAGGCATTTTTACTGTTTTAGGAAGTTCTAACAATCATTTTGATCTTTCAAAAGTCAAAATTGATCACTGCCGATTTTGTTTTGAAAATAATTATCATATTACAAAAAATTGAAATATTCTTAATCATAATAAAAATCATAATAATACTAGGAATCATAATATTAGTAATCATAAAAATCAGAATCGTAAGGATAATAATAATTATTATAATAAAAATCATAAAATACATCATAAAAATAAGCATCATAATCAAGATAATAGTTTTAAAAAAAGTGTTAATCATAATAGAACAATGATCAAAAAACAATCATAAAAAAACATTATAATCATAATCATGATAATAATTATAATAATCATAATAATGATTATCATGATAATCATCATAACAACCATAATCATAAAAAAAAATCATAATAATCATAATAATAATCATGATAACAAAAAAGATAGCCATAATAATGACGATAGAAATCATAATAATAACCATAATAATCATAATAATCAGAAAAATCATAATAAAATAAATATTAATGATAATCAATCATAAAAATCATTAAAATAATATTAATAAACATAATCATATTAATTATAATAAACCTAAAGATAATAATCATAATAATTATACTAATAATCAAAATAACATAAAAATGATAACACTAATCATAATAATATTAATATTAATAATATTCATAATAATCATAATGATCATAAAAATCTTAATAACTATAATAATCATCATAATAATTATAAGAATTATAAAAATGATAATGATGATAATCATAAAAATAATCATAATAATCATAATAACCATAATAATAGTCATAATGATCATAATAATCATAATAGTCAAAATATTAATCATAAAATTATAATAATAATCAAAATAACCACAATAATGATAACAATAACCATAATAATATTAATATTAATGATAATCATAATAATCATAATAATCATAAAAATTATAATAACTATAACAATCATCATAATAATTATTAATCATAATAATTATAAGAATCATAAAAATGATAATGATGATATTCATAAAAAGAATCATAAAAATGATAATAATCATAATAATAGTCATAATAATCATAATAATCATAATAATCAAAGTATTAATCATAATAATTATAATAATAATGTAAAATAACCATAATAATCATAACAATAATCATAATAATATTAATATTAATGATAATCATAACAATCATAATAACCATAAAAATAATCATAATAAAACTTAATCATAATACTTATAATAATCATAAAGATATTAATCATAATAATCATAATAGCAATCATAATAACAAAAATGATAGCCTTAATAATGATAATGAAAATCATAAAAACAACCATAATAATCATAATAATCAGAAAAATCATCACAATAAAAATATTAATGATAATCAATCATAAAAATCATTAAAATCATATTAATAATCATAATCATATTAATTATAATAAACATAAAAATCGTAATCATAATAATTATAATAATACTCAAAATAACCATAATAATGATAAAATTAATCAAAATAAAATTAATATTAATGATAATCATAAAAATCATAATAATCATAGTAACCATAATAATAATCATAATAATTATAATAATCATAAAAAGGATAATGATGATAATCAAAAAAATAATCATAATAATCATAATAATCATAAAAATAGTCATAATAATCATAACAATAATCATAATAATCAAAATATTAGTCAGAATAACTATAATAATTATCAAAATAACCATAATAATGATAACAAAATCATAATAATATTAAAATTAATTATAATCATAATAATCATAATAACTATAAAAATAATCATAATAAAAATAAATCATAATATTTATCAGAATCATAAAGATAATAATCATGATAATCAAAATAATCATAATCATAACAATCATAATAATAATTAATCTTAATAATTATAATAATCATAAAGATAATAATAATGATAATCATAAAATAATCAAATTATCATAATAATCATAATAATAATCATAACAATAACCATAATAATCAAATTATTAATCATAATAATTATAATAATAATCAAAATAACCATAATAATGATAACAATAATCATAATAAGATTAATAATCATGATAATCATGATAATCATAACAACCAGAATCATAATAAAAAAAACAATTAATCATAATAATTATAATAATCATAATAATAATCATAATAATCAACACAATCATAAAAAAAATCAAATTAAAAATCATAATAATTATAATAATCATAAAGATATTAATAATGATGATCATAAAATAATCATTTTATCATAATAATCATAATAATAATCATAAAAATCATAACAATAATCATAATAATCAAAATGTTAATCATAATAATTGTAATAAAAATCAAAATAACCATTATAATGATAACAATAATCATAATAATATTAATAATCATGATAATCATAATAATCATATCAACCAGAATCATTAAAAAAAAACAATTAATCATAATAATTATAATAATCATAATTATAATAATCATGATAATCATAATAATCATAATAATAATCATAATAATCAACACAATCATAAAAATAATCAAAATAATAATCATAATAATTATAATAATCATAAAAATATTAATAATAATAATCATAAAATAATCATATCATCATAATAATCATAAATTAATCATATTATCATAATAATCATAATAATAATCATAACAAAAATCATAATAATCAAAATATCAATCATCATTAATATAATACTCAAAATAACCATAATAATGATAACAATTATCATAATAAGATTAATAATCAACCAGAATCATATCCAAAAAAAAATAATCATAATAATTATAATAATCATAAAGATAAAAATTAGGTTAATCATAATAATCATAATAATAATCATGATAATCAACACAATCATAAAAATAATCAAAAAAATAATCATAAAAATAGTGATAATGATAATCATAAAATAATCATATTATCATAATAATCATAATAAAAATCATAATAATCATAACAAAAATCATAATAATCAAAATAATAGTCATAATAATTATAATAATAAGCAAAACAACCATAATAAGGATAACAATAATCATAATAATCATAATGTTAATGATGATCATAATAATCATAAGAACCATAATAATAATCATAATAAAAATTAACCATAATAGTTTTAATAATCATAAAGATAATAATAATGATAGTCATAAAATAATCATATTGTCACAATATTTATAATAATAATCATAATAATTTTAATATTAATCATAAAAATCATAAAAATAATCATAAAAATCATATTAATAATCATAATAATCATAAAAAAAATAACAATGTGGTTCCTGGGAATCGCAGAGGAGCTACCAGTAGGCCTTAACAGTCCATTTGTATTAATTGTCACATTCCAGGCTGTGCTATTTTGTTGAGCGTAGCTCTTTTTTGCGACTCACGGCCTTTTTTTTGCGTCTAGAATTTTCATGTGGTACCACTATTGTAGCCGAAATTGGTCAAGCTGTGGTCAGACTTGAAGCTAGAGGTCAAGTGAGAGCTCGTCCTCGCACACTATCAATGCCATGGTATGGAATCAAATACACGATGTGACGTTTTTAAATTGAAAGCCTTACCACTATGCTAAGTGCCTCCGGTTTGAAAATTCCACAACCATTCATCGAGAAAAGTTGGGTGCTACTCAAGTTTTAGGAGATTTTTACTAGTTAGTAAATACCATAGCAATTTTTTAAACGAGTTGTTATTTTTAAACAAAAATTATTTAATTATTTGGCAATGATGCTTGCGAAATAACTATAAAATTAGGCAAATGTGGAGCGTGAAATTTTAATTGTTTTAACATCTAATCAGCGGCAGATGTTTGTTGCCAAGGCATTGCTTTTTTAAAAATTGTAAAAAATTCTTCCAACAAAAAATTTCCTCGCAAAATCAGGCGCCACAAATAATCCTTGGGGTGGGTTGAGTGATATGTCATAATAAAGCACTTTAAGTCGTAATTCGAAAGACTTTATAAAAAATTTCCCGTTCATCGACAAAATAGCTGTTTGGTTTTTTCAATATTATTTTGTCTAAGATTTTGTTATAGAATGATTCAGAAAGATAGGCCTATTGTAGAAGGATAGTCGCAAATTGGTAGTCAGTAAGCTATGAAAACTTTTATTCAAGCCCTGTTATCGTTTTTTTGATAAAATTTGTTTTCCAACACGCCTACTTTTAATATGAATAAAAATCGTAAACGCCAAACTCTAATCCTTCATACAGAAAAAATTGAAAAAATGGACCGTAGTTTTTTAAGAATATGGCTGGAACATTCTGTGCTACTTGCTTTTTAGATAAAAGAATTGTTTTTTATTGATAAAAAATACGCAGGTTAACCCATTAGATCTTGATTGTTTGTCGAATGATTAGTTGCTTTTATGATAGTAACCTTTTCTTGGAGAGGATTTAGCTATGACAGCTAGAAAAGTATTTTGGGTTCTTTTCTTCTTAAAACATCTTAATCACAAGAAATAAAATTTTTCTTTTCAGTTTTTTTTTGAAGTTGTGCCTGCGATTGTTCCTGTTTACAAAATTGACAGGGAGGGGGTAAATTTATGGGGGAAAATGAGTAGCTACTGGAGCTCAGAGCACGAAAAATTGAGGCCTGGCGAAGAAAAACACCTCAAAAGTTTAAAATGCACGCAACAACTTGAAACGGCGAAATGAATTTTGTAAGAAATTTTTTCTTGCACGCTCTTGCTCAAAAAAATTATGTATACTGGCACAAAACTACCCCTTCATAAAAAAACATAGAAAAAAAACTGTTGTAAAACTGTTTAGAAGAGGGACTTTTTAGATTTTCTGTCTGGCTAAAAATGAATTGTTGCAAGGTGGAACCAGATCTAAACTATATTTTTAATATTGGTTATAAATTGGATATTTTATCACTATAAAATGTTTAATATTAACCAATCATGATCCATCTAACTAACAACCCACTTATTTGTAAGTGCTGAAATTACTTGTAATTTCAGCACCAGAGAGATTTGAATTTAACTTAGAAATTAGTTACCTCTCCAAGAGACCTTCTAGCAATCGCAACAAGCCAGTATACTCTAGATCTATTGAGCCTAGCAGAGACTAGTTAAACACCCTGAGACTAGAAGATATAAGAGTATGATTAGGATCGGTATTAGACTAAGAAGTTGCACGAATCAATCCGGCCGAAAATAAGATAGCGTGACGAGCAGACGGTGTACCCTATCCGAAATTACTCAATGAGTTACACTTCGGTCCTAACTCATCTGGTGCGACCATAAGTCTCGAATGAGACCTTAAAAAACAAAATTAGCTTAGAACTAACAAGATAGATTAGAAATAGACAAAAATTATTTCCGAAATGTTACATGATAACAATTTAATTGAAATGTCTCTACGACTCAATAGATCAGAGCCGCTATTCCGTACAATACTAGAACTACCAGGTATTGGAAGAAGACCTCGGACAAGAGACGATCTACGACTACGAAGAAACTTACCACTAAGTTTCATGGTCGTACGGCGAAAGCCAGAACAAACTTTTATATTTAGAATTTTACTAGCAATAAATTTAGATTTTAATTTGCAAACATAAAACCTTGAAGACAAATCTTCAATGATTATTTCAGGCGCTAAACAAAATTTACTATTGTACAATAATGATTGATAAAAACATCTCAAATCGTTTCCTCCAAATTTGCAGTAAGATTTAAAAAGATATCTGAAAAATAATTTATTAAAAGGAAAATAAAAATTAGTTAACATGATCATAAATTGTTAGTATATATAAGTCATCGTAGCATCTCAGCTTCATCACCTAAACATAATAGCAATCATAAAACTGCTAACATTATTAAAAACTAAACTTTTCCATCAAATAAAACCTAAAATTATTTTGAAAATCTTATCCTAAATTTAATCTATATTTCACTTAAATTTCTCTACACCTTAAATATAGTTCATCAAGGCTTTCCTTGGATCACTTAAAATGTCTAACTTAATTCATTTTATACCATTATATTTTTACCTGATCATCAAGGCTTATCCTTAGATCAAATAGAACAATTTTGTTCTCCCCCACCCTATTAATAAAGTGTCTAACGACCTCAAACGTCGATTCACTATCCAACCCTTTTCAAGACCCAGGACTAATAGAAATTTTTCAAATCACTCTAACCATTCTAATTAGGCTAAACAGTGAAGAACTTCGGTTATTCATCCTTCACTTGACCCCCCCCCCCTCTTACATGACCCAGGCTAAATCTTAAATCTTAGTAAATTTAAAATAGTATCTAACGAACTACTCGCGTTCTAATTATACCTGATCCCTGTAGATCGATTTACTTTTCTCCAACCCTTGAACACAATCACTACCCCTAAGTAAGATCAAGTAAGTTAACACCTTAGCTTAGAATAGTCACGAGAAAGTAACAGTCATTCTCCGGAATCGATTTACTTTTCTCTCCAACCCTGAATACAAAGACCCAATTTAGGCTAACCAAAAAATCGTAAAGACTAACAGTCTAGGATATTATATTCACTAATAAAAACCTTGCATCCTTCATCCTAAACCTTATGTCACTGAACAATTTAGGAAATAAACAAACAATCGTACTACACAATTGCAAAATAAATAACGAAACATACGATCTCGTAATCACACCACATAAACAAACAATTGGATATATTCGAACAAAAAGACAAACAAAAAAAAGAAAAATTATAAGTAAACAAAGGCAAATTATACGGAAAAGATTTTCAAAGCGAAGAAACGCAGTCTCCGAATCAGAAGTCAGTAATTTAGATGCACTTTGCAAACTAAACGAAACAGTAAATAAAAACCACCCAGTTCACGACCAATTATTTTTTTCCGATTCAGAAGCCACATCACATTCATCAAAACAAGGAAAAAGAAGGAATTTTTTCCTAACACGCGTAAAGTTTCTTGGCCATATTTTTGAAAGAAACACTATAACTCCATTAAAATCACGCAAAGATGCAATTCAAAAACTTCAACCACCTACAAATAAGAAGAAAATCGAAGAATTTCTTGGAATGTTAAATTTTCTCAGTAAATATGTATACAAAATGCAATTATACTTAAGACCTTTCTATAACATCCTTAGACAACCAAACAACTTTGAATGGACTACTGAACATCAAACACGATTTGACGAAATTAAAAAATTTGCTAACAGAACAAATATCAAATACAATCCCAGATCCAAATCAACCATTCAATACAATCACACAGTGGAACAAATAAGATGAATTTAGTATCAGCAAACTCTCGTTTATTTACACAAGCCGAACTACGACTCTCTACTCTCATGAGAGAATGCACAGCTAGAATATACACACTTACCGAATATGAATTTCTAATACTTGGATCAAAACATCCAACAGTTCGATTTACAGATCATAAACCCATAAAATTTCTCTTTACACAAAAATCGAACTCAAACCATCGAGTTTACAGATTTCAATTAATTTTAATGAAAATTCCAAACTTACATATAGTTTGAACAGCATGAAAAAATCTTGCGTTACCAGATACACTAAGTAGAAACACACCACTTGAATTACTCACACGAAAAACTACAGTTGAAATACCACAAAATAATAAATTTTATCTTGCAAAAAACGAAACATCACCATGACTAGAATGTAAATATGCAGGAAAAACAGATATAGATCAATCACAATTAAACAATTTACAACAATTTCCACTTTATTTAGATTGTCAAAACAATCAATATGAAGTCGATTTATTAGATACATCCACATTTAAACCAACCCCATATTCACATTGGATAAAAAATAATACTCAGCAATAAAGCAACAGCCACACAAAAAAGATCCTTTCCCATTGATAGAAAAAGAAAATTTAACTGACAATATAAATTTGTCAGGACCACCGACAACTGATTTAAAATATACAGTAAATCAAGTTTTTAATCTTCATGACCCACTCGACACAATTCCCCTATCAAAAATAGAAGTCGAAAATATTTTTTTTTACCACCAACAGAAAAAATTACTCTACAATTAATACAACAATACCAAAATTTTGACCCTATTATTAGACAACTTAAATCATGACCCAAATATAAAACAGAGCCAGCAAAAGCTGATACAACGATATTAGGAAAAAAAACACTCCTCCGATAATTTAGAAAAATCAATAAAACTACTTTAAATAAAAATACAGATCTTTCAGAATATAATGCATCCGATTCTAAAGTACCCTGTCTCCCCCTCAGCATGATGTTGATAGCATTCAACATATCTCACACACAAAATACAAAAGGACACTCAGGATCAGGAAAAATATATTCAA